AACCCCACAACTGCCCTGCCTACATGACAGCTTAACCCCACAACTGCCCTGCCTACATGATAGCTTAACCCCACAACTGCCCTGCCTACATGATACACACCGCAGTCAGATCACGTGAGCTCAGCGGTGGTCGCTTATAAACTATGCCTCTTGGAGCGCAACTTCCCATTGGACTTCTGACGAAACGTAAAAGGCGTAAAGAATGGCGCACATAAAGGATTGTAAGAAGCTACCGAAACTTTGATTGAAAAATATTTAATTAAGAAAGAATTATAAACAAACAATTAAATTTTTTCACTATTAATCACCTGACGCGTTTCTTATTAGTTTTAGATATTGATTTTCGAGTAGTATCCATTATATAATATTTTTCCACTGCATTATTTTCAAAATCTCGAATTTGCAAGTATTGAATACTATCATTTTGCTTGAAAATGAATAACGTTTTTTCGAAACGTCGTAGTATTTAAAATTATCTTGGAAACCTCATTCCGATCTAACGACGTCATTAAGAAAAATCGTTTTACTCATCGAAAAAATAAAAGAAAAAAAATTATTAATATAAACTATCTCAGTTTTCACATTGTCGGCACATGAGCTCGTAGCGCGTGAGGAATTCCTGGATAAACTACGTCAGAATTTACAATAGTAAAAAAGTCGTGATTTACATTAGTATAAAAAATAAAACTAAAATTTGTGAACACGGTAAAAATGTATTATCTTAGTTACTTCCTGGCAGTTCTGTCATACAATAGATTTGCCTAATTAATAAATAATATGATAAGGAGATAGACCTACCATGAATAATGTACGGTAAAATCAAAACTTAGGCAAGCGTAAAATTGTTTCAAAAAATGCCGTTTAGCCATCGCAACAAACACTCGTAATGCCAGGATTAACAGATAGCTCTTTAAATATAAATTTATTACAAATGCCCAAATTTTCATAGAAGTAATAAATTATCTTAAAATATAGATAAGCAAATTTTAAAACTGACGCATGAAAATTTCAAATTAAATGATCTAACAAATAAAAATCAAATATTTATTTACACAAGTGTAAGCGATATGAACAAAAATAGACACGAACAAGGTAATGTCCACACAACACCCTGAATAATAATAAAAAACACTAATTCTACATAATCTACATACAATTTTCATACATTTTAAATTTTCTAATTACAAAAATATATCATTTTTACACTTGATCAGTCTAAAAAAGACAGCCACACAAAAGCTCAAACAGGGCAATATTCTTATTAAATACATCACACAGATATTGCGCGTCGAACGTGAATTCCAATCGCAAGGCTCCAAGTGTTAAAACTTTGTATTTCAATAAAATCTAAATAAAATGAAATTCTGTTATTGTGAGCATTAAATGCGGACGAAAACAATAACTATAAAACGAATAAAAAATTCCGTGATTGGAATGGTTTAAAGGATGTAAAAATAGTTTGAAATAAAAAACTGTTTGAAATGATTACATGGAGACGAAAGGTTGAAATCTATAAAATAATTGCAATATATATGGTCTAAAATAAAGCGGAAGAGCAATTGTAATAAAATGAAAGAGTTTACATTGGTGCTCTGCATTACGTATCAATCTTTACTGATGTTTATAACGGCGTTATATTGTGCAAAAATAGCGCTAAAATTTAAGAACTTCGACTTACAAATACAGTATTTTTTTTGTGCTGGTTTTCATTGAATTTGAGTGTTTTAAAGAATTATAGGTATTTTAAATATTGTAGTGTGTTGCATTGGAACCAGGAATAGTCTCAGACTAGTTATGTGATGCAACGCAAGACTAGTTAAGCAAAACGAGACTAGTATGACATAATGTGCTACAGCTTTTGGCCTTAGTTTCAGTCCAAGATAGTCATACTGGCACATTCCGCTTCATTTCGAAATTATCAAGAATTTGAAGAGAATAAGAAAATTAAATAAAGATTTGACAATGAGGGTTGAAAAATTAGGAGATCGCTAACCTTTGCGCTACCACTGGCTAGGAATGTTGTGTAATAAGCAGATATTCGTTTTTTAATGAAATTGGAACAATTAATAGGAATTTGTTTAGCTAGAGTTATGCGTTCCAATTAATTGAAAAAGCACGCTATGTTATAAGATTTCAAATTGCCTCAAAACTGGATTCAGTTCAACAAATATTTTAACAGATTAAGTGCGAAAAGAGCAACGTGTATTTCCAGTTCAGTACAACCTTCTGTAGAGAGGGAGTTCAGTCAGGGTAAGGCAAGTGTTTGTCCTGCAATTCCTACAACTTCTACGAGGAAAATTTTTTTCCGGTTATTAGTTGCTGCTTCACGACAAGATTCGAAAAAATCAGACAGCTTGAAACGGCAGCTTCTGTAGAATGTTTGACGAATTTCTTGAGTTCATTCCCACATGCGGGCGCCTGACATTAAAAAACGGCGATTGAACGTTACTTCAACATCATTAACACATATTCAAAGGTAAATCAGCGTCATTCACCTAAGGAGTTCCATTTTCGCGAATTCAACTCGTACACATAGCGCATCACGCAGTGCCAGTTTTTTAGAACTTTTTATTGCATGCTTGCTAATTTATTAGGAAGAACAAATAGGAAGACGACTTCCTGATAATTACACGAAATTGATTAGGAATACGATAATGACCTCTATGGATACTTGTTATTCGATGAATTTATATGAACATTTTATCTGAAGCGATAAACTATTAATAAAATCGAGAAGTATTTATGAAGGAAATTGCTGAGTTGAGCTGATAGCGGAGAGCAAACCTGGACGAGGTCTTTGCCTAGCTCAGGAGTCACTTCTTCTCTACTGGTCCCAGTGGCAGGAAACGGCCAGAGAAACGGTGCATCAGCATGGCCATAGGTGGAGCCATAGAGAACCTCATCTCAGGATAACAAAGTATAAGAAGGCATATAATTATAGAAAATGAGAAAGCACATGATGATAAAAAATGAGAAGGCACACATTGTAATAACAAATACTAAGGCACAGTGATGATGATGTGGCCGAGCCATCAAAAGATAATGCCGGGCAGTGGCTTGGGCATGATTGGGGCGGCGGGTGGGGCGGGCACGTCGAGGTGATGATGAACCTGCAGCCATGCCGAGGTGCGGTCACCGCTGGCCATGAGGTCACCGCTGGCCATGAGGTCGCCGTATGCGCCCTGCCCTTGAGTCGTCGCGCTGTTGAGAGGTCGTTGTTATCACGGGTCCCAACTTGGGTTACTAATGAACTTTATGATGAATTGATGATGAATAATATGGCGAAAGATTTATATTCGCCACGGGAGTTCATAGAACGACTTTTCAGGTAGTTTGTATTTATGGTATTTATCGTCTTTGTAAGCTGAAATTCGTTAAGAGCGTCATCACCTGTAGTGTTTGATGCAAAATTCAGGTTTCTCCCAAGCTCAAAAGAGTATATAATCTACAGTCAAGCTTTAAGAAGCTTACACTAAAGACAATTGATTTGTAACGGTTGCAAATAGAATTTGTACACCAATGAAGATAATAATCTGAAAACTATACGGACTTTGCACCTAACATTTAAATAACTCTTATGAGAAAGTTTAGCACTGAAACTTTCTTTGTTACTTAATCAGCTTTTAGGCATCAAAAGACTGTCACTCAAGATATTTTCAAACAGTGAAGGATTCGGATGTTTAAAATTTTTATTCCATCTTGTATTTTATGTTTGCCCAAAAGGGCTTGTTGTGTGTTGTAAGCCTGGCACCATAAATTTATTGGGGCTATTCGGGCGCGGATCCTCATTGCCTACCGAGTTGGTATATTGCCTGGATATAAAAATTGATCTTAAGTGGAGGAATACCAGGGCATTGAAAACATGAGAGGATAGGATTGGCCCAATACAAATTTGATTTCTAAATGGGTAAATTTTATCACGATTTCGGAAAGACAAAACAGTGTTTTTTTGGCTGTGACGGTCAAATTTGAGTTACAGGCATTACATAAAAAGAGAGTTTGAACAGGTCTATATATGCGTAGCATACATTAGTTTTATATTCGAAGAATTCTGGATGATTGGATCCTAAAATTGTAAGGATTATCGGTCCCGAGAAGCGCTTGCTAATCTGCTAATAAAGAATGTATCCGTTTATTTTCGATAATATTTTAACTCTAACAAATTTAGTTTAAGTCAGTGAAATTTGCACCCTGATTCTTGATTACTCGTGTATGTTAGGCTATAAATTTGTAACCGATGCTTAAATATTAACATGATGATTCAATGATGAAACAGAACTACTTTTGACCGATGATAGAATGATAGTGAATGATCACTCGCGCTAAATAATCTTGTTTCAAGTGCAAATTATTCATGACTAATTATTCCGCTTAAGAATAAGTGGACTCACGGACTGGGTTGAGTGTCAAGGACGTCGTCGAGGGCGATGGACTTGTAGTCTTCGTCGTCTTCTATCACGTCCTCGAACACCGTAGCGATGGACGTGGCGCGTGGTCGTGACGCTGCACAGTCGACAATTATTACGATAATAAATCTATAAGTGATAAATATAGGTAAATCAATATAAATAAATCAAATAAAGATAGACAGAAAATTGATTAAGAAATCGCATTATGTGAACATTTTGCACTTTTTACAACATGTGTGAAATGAAATAACAGCGCTTCTTATTTGAATACGTGCTATTTACTTATTATTATAAAGTATTAGAAATATTGTTATTATCAAAAAACGTTATTGATTCGTTTATAGCGTTAAAATTTTTAGTTAAATCCCAACCCAACTCACGATCAGCCATCTGAAGTACCGCAGGCTTGGTGCAAGTTAATTAAATGTTTCGTTAAATGCGAAACATTTAATTAACTCTTGATAAATGATGCGTGAAGACACTTATCAATTAATATCAGGCTTTAAATTAGCAAAAACATCAAAATAATATAATAATAAATATCAAATTAATATAAACTAATTGAAGTTAACTAACTCAATCAATATACGGCTATAAATTAACAAAAAAATAAAAATAATTTCGTAATAAATATCAAAATGATCTGAAATAATTGAAGTGAAGTAACTCATTAATATCAGGCTTTAAGTTAACAAAAACAATCAAAATAATAAAATAATAAAAAATGTATGTCAATATGAATTATATGAAGTTAACTAATATAGCAGAGTAATTCTTAATGCATGCAATGTTATCAGTGATATCTGAATGATTTTCATTATATAATGTAAATAATCGAACACGTAGACACGATTGTCCTAATAAATTACTAACGTGACTAAGATAAAATACCTCGTGAAAAATAACTAACGTACGTCAAGCGTCCTAAAAGCTACGGATGTTATTCGGATATTCGCACCTGCAGCGCGAAATAGTGACAACAAGAAACTTGTTTACAATTATAGTAATAGAGGAGAAATTTTGAATAAATAATATTTGATAAAGTGACTGTGAAATAATTGAAACGTACCGTGATGAAGCATTACAAGTAAGCGTTAACAATCATCTTCACAAAGTTCTAATCATACTATATTTTTTAATAATCCTGAAATAAAATATCATAATCATGATAAACAACAAACTAATCACAATTATAGTGCCAGAATCATAATCAGCAACATAATAATCATAATAAACCATGTAATAATAAAAATTTATCAAGCCATAATAATAACAGACAGTGTGATAATCACGATAATTATCGCCATAATCACAACTAAAGACAACACCGCGACAAGGTCAGTCCTAATTATAACAGACAGTGTGATAATCATGATAATCAACGCCATAATCACAATTAAAGACAGTATCACAATAATGTCAGTACCGGCAGTCTTGAAGGATGCGCAGGACACGGCGCTCCTGAAGCTCCTGGCGCTCCTAAAGCTGCGGTTGTCGACGCTGCGATGCGACGCGCCGTCGGGGGAGCGGCGGCCCCCCTTGCTGTCCCCCGCGTCCTCCAGGGGGATCACGTACACCCCCGGGGAGGGGACTGCTTCTTCTTCTGGGGAGGGTGCGTCTTGCAAGACAAGCATGGCGTTAATGTATGGTTGAATATTTTTTTAAGTATAGTATAATTTGAATTTTTTTATCTTCATAGAAAAGACGGAAAGAATAAAGAATTTTTGAGTCGTACTTGTGCGCTTTTATATCTGATTTGCCTAAGGGAATACTTTAAATATTCGCTCTATTGTACAAAATAGCGTTCAAATATTCAGTCTATTGTACAAAATAGCGTTTGAAATTTAAGAAGAAGTTCTGCTTTGTTCAGAGTAACAATTAATCAACATTTTCTATATTAAAAAATTATTTCTAAATTTATTAAGCACTTATAATCAAATTTCTATGAAAATTTATTTGCAAATAAGGTCCTAAAAAATTCCTGCGTGAAAAACAACGAATTCTTCATGAATTTTTAATACACACTATACAGAAAAGAATGGCTTAAAATTAATTTAAAATATTTTAAAAAGCAACAGCGAAGTATATAAATATATTTTTAATCATTTATTTAGTCAGCAGCAAAATCATCCCAAACAGAACATGAGCACCCAGATAACTATTCATTGTATTCATATTTCTTATGTTGTTACAGACCAAAAAACAGGAAATAAGTCAAATTAAAATTAGCAAAGCAATGTAATATCTCACCTTGATTAGGGTTGGGGAGATCTGGAGTCTTGGGGAAAATGAGGAACAAGAAGACACACACAGCTCCCCCAGACACAACACTCAGGGGGAACACACACCCACTGATGTACCCACCGACCCCACCAGCCTGCCACGGAGAGAAGGGGGAATGATGTTGTTAATTAATACATAGCTAATAAATTAATGTATTAATTAATACATAATTAATAAATTAATGTATTAATTAGTACATAATATATAAATGAATTTTGCTCATTTGCACAATAATTCACTCATTTGCTGTACAATAGATTATTTGATTGTAAAGTCATTTTGCAATTCATGTATTCATTTGCTTATTTGTTTACCGTAGATTTCCTGACAGTTTTAACAAAAATATGCAATAAGATAATATATATAATAATAGACGACTAATATAATAGTAAGGCAGCACGATGTAGGCCCCAACTCCTCCTCCTACCTGCACCATGGAGGGCAGGACGATGTAGGCTCCAACACCCCCTCCTACCTGCACCATGGAGGGAAGCACGATGTAGGCCCCAACTCCCCCTCCTACCTGCACCATGGAGGGCAGGACGATGTAGGCCCCAACACCCCCTCCTACCTGCACCATGGAGGGTAGGACGATGTAGGCCCCAACACTCCCTTCTACCTGCACCATGGAGGGCAGCACGATGTAGGCCCCAACTCCTCCTCCTACCTGCACCATGGAGGGCAGGACGATGTAGGCCCCAACACCCCCTCCTACCTGCACCATGGAGGGCAGGACGATGTAGGCCCCAACTCCCCCTCCTACCTGCACCATGGAGGGCAGGACGATGTAGGCTAGGGCAGCCCCCGCCGCCCCCGCGCTGTTCACCACCATCAGCGCCTTGCTCCTGCGACTCTCCTCCACAGCGACAAGCACGCCTCTGAATAATCCATCAGTAAAAAAATGATAAATTGTTCTAAATAAAATAAAATAAAATGGTCTAAAGAATTACAAGCACTGACAATCATTCTAATCAGTCCTAAGCATTAGAATCTAATTTAGTTTGGAAATATTTTTCTTCTTGCGTAGAATGTGAAGAACACAGCAGTATTCAGTGAAATTAAGGAGTATTCTAATAAGTGAATATTATAATCAGGAAACATACCTAATATATTGCAGTTAATAGCCTACGTATGAGCTGGGAGAAAATCTTACATTTCCTAGAAGCAGGCACATAATCTGGAGAAAATGACCTGTACCGTATGCAAGGGGACCAGACATTTATCCTATATATATCCTGATAAGAAAACATTACCCGTATCTCATGCAGGGGACGAGACAATGATTTATCCTATCACCAAAGTAGGGAGCATTTCCTATATTATATCCACCAAGTAGGAAGCACTATCTCTAACCTATTCCCCAAGTAAGAAGCAGAACCTGTTTCCCATCCCATTAGCGAGGAACATTACCTGTATACTGTCCCGTAAGTAGGGAACATTACCTTTATTCTATCATGCGAGTATGGAGCATTACCTGTATCCTATGGAGGTAACACCATAGGTGAAGAAGGAGGCCTGGGCGGCGGAAAGGACGAACACCCACGTCCTGGTGTCGGTGTCAGCGCCCTCGATGGCCACCACCACGAGCGTGGCGATGCCAACACAGAGCCCTACATTTGAGAGGCGCGAGCATGGCCGTGAATTTATTATACACAGCAATAGATTAAAAAACGCAGCTAGAATCTGGAGCGCAGATAGTAAAACGGGGAAAATTTATAAATTTTAGACACAATCATTACCCTGAGTGCGGTCAGAATATGGACACAATCGTAAATAAGGGGCACAACGTAGATCGTAGATAAGGGAACAATAAAACCCGGGTAATGTTTTACATCCTCAGCAGCTGTGGTGACAGAATGTCACTGATGTATGACCTATTATACTGTGACAACCGCTGACTAACAACCCTGAGAACCAGCTATCCAGAACTGCTGTCTCGTGCAGTACAAGCGTGACGTGTGGTTCTCACTAGATCATTCAGCACGGATGGTGCTGATAAGTGACCTATGCATATTTGCATTATTGCTATTGTAAAGCCGAATCGCATGTCTCTGCATTATTTCAAGATCTATGATCTGCAATTTGACTAACTAAAAGACTCAGAAAAGTGAGCTCGATGGCCAGAGGCACAATAAATATTTGTTCCCCAGAAAAGGGCACTCTAATCTTTATTCGAAAAGCTCCTCCTTGGCTTGAAAAAGAGGCACCTACGTAAATTCTAGTCGAGACTACGGCAAAATGTTGATTTGCATTAACGATCATTTAGAATAAAAAATACAAGTTAATTTCTCCTAAGCGCAGGACTATCACCAAAGTTAGAGTAATTTCTCAAACCTCCACATAGCAGCACAGACATATTTCAAACCAAGTTTCACAGTAGCCCTTAAGAATGAAAACTTACCTTACCTTAAAACCTTAACACTGCGTTCTCACTTATCTCCATCATTGACTTTATGCTACCGATATGCAGAATAACTGCTTGTGATCGCACCAGCAGAAAAGATTTATTCTATGTAATGTTATTAAGCAGTTTGACTCAAAAACCGTTAGTCAACCAACCAATTGAACAGATCATTAGAACTTCTTCTCACTATATTGTCTTGCTGAGTCACTTTAGTGACTTGAAGACTGACTTCACTAAGTGAATTAATTTTAAAATTCGCGTTAGCGGGTCTCGGATAAATCAATAAAGCGAGTCACTAATATTTACTCAAGTGCTTTGCTAATGAGTCACTTCAACTTACAGAACTCATCCTCCCTTCCCACTACTCGTCTCATTCCCCCAGCACTCACCCACGACGGTGGTGATGAGTAACTGGACCCTGGCCGGTTTGTTCACTTGCGGGATCGCGGGCTCGATGAAATAATCCAGCAACTGGGCTGCTAGGAGCCCAGAGAACAGCACAACCAGCAGGGCCCACTGCCCAGTAAGATGTCAGGTCTCATGATCTCTCCTGGTAGCCGGTACATGAATTTTTTTGGGGGGACCACGCTGATGCGCCACCTTTGACACCTACAAGCATCCTACCGAGTGACCCCAAGGTAAGTTAAAATTTGTTGAGGTTCGAACCCGCAATTTAGCTGCCATCTCGGTGTAACACTGCGCTCTACTGGTCCAAAGAGTATTGGGTGGGTAGGTCCATAGTGACGGCCAATTATGGATGTACTATATTACAGTACAGTATACATACTATTGATATACGATATACGGGGCTGTTTTTAAGATAATAGTAGCAGCCGAAGAGGATGCACTGTATATTAAGCTATAGAGTCCAGACTAGCAGAGCTACCACAGCTGTTTACTATCTTACTTAGTGTTTCGCCAATCTTTTTAGCCAATCCAACGTACACGACCCCTCACACTCACCCATGTATCAGCCCCAGGCAGTACCAGCATCGTGGCCACCAGCAACGTGTGTAGTACCCACGTACCCCCGAAATGTACCAGGGCACTCACGCCCACGTCTCGCTTTATGGCCTCCTGCCACGTGCAGCGGACCTGCCGGGGTACGCTTTCAGTACACGTGGCACATTAATGGTTTACTTAGCCACAGGAGTACTTTTGGTGTTGAGGTATACTAGGCCATATAATCTTATTTTTTGAAGTAAGACAATCATACATACACGGGAAACTCCGGCCAAGGAAGAGAATTATGAGCTTACACGGGTTTCAAGAGTGTACATGGGCAACATGGGTGTCCACATGCACCACAACCCGCATCACCCACCAGAGTGGTACACTCAATGGTGGGCAGGAAGATAAGGACGAGGCCCACCTGAGTGGCACACTCTATTGTGGGCAGGAAGATAAGGACGAGGCCCACCTGAGTGGCACACTCTATTGTGGGCAGGAAGATAAGGACGACGCCCACCTGAGTGGCACACTCTATTGTGGGCAGGAAGATAAGGACGACGCCCACGACGAGCGTCACGACGCCCGAGATGTAGAAGGGCGATGCCCAGAACTGGAAGCTGCTAAGACCTGTGCCCAGCATCGAGCCCAGCCACGGCCCTGCCCAGCACAGCAAACCTCAACAACATAGGCTGTTTAGCCGCTAGGTAGCGTCCCCTTAACACTAGGTTAGGTAGACACTAAGTAGACACTAGGTAGCTTCTCCTTAACATTAGATTAGATAGAAGCTCAGTAGACACTAGGTAGCGCAGAAGTTCAGTAGACGCCAAGTAGACGCTAGGTAGCGCCCCGCTTAACACTAGGTTAGATAGAAGCTCAGTAGACGCTAGGTAGCGCCCCCTTAACACTAGGTTAGGTAGAAGCTCAGTAGACGCTAAGTAGACGCTAGTTAAACGCTCGGTAAACTCACCAGTAAATATGATGGCCAGACGACCGCGGCTGCTGATCTTGCGGGAACCCAGGAGGCGGTAGACGATGGGGTAGCACGCGCCCTGGGGGGGGGGGGAGAATTTCATAATGCCTCCCCTTCAATTTGAGAAATGCATCATTCCTCACCAGCTATTTGAGAAATCCATCATTCCTCACCGTCAATTAGAGGAATTCATCAATCCTTGGCGTCAATTCGGGAATTTCGTAATTCCTCGTCGTCAGTTTGAGGATCAAATTAGGATCAAATGATGTCACTTGAGTGGGTACTGAGCCACAGGAGTACTTTTGGTGCTGAGGTATACTCACAGTCGTTCATCACAGTCAATTGAAACGTTCATCATTCATCACCGTCAAATGGAGACATTCATAATTCCTCACCATCACTTTTTACGTTGACTCAATTTTGCCATTTTGCTAATAATGAAAACCACAAGCCTTTTAGCCTTTTTGAGCTTTTGTAATATTTGAATTAAGAAAAAAATTTATCGAAGATAAAGTTCATTAGGGACCTCTTTATTGTGTGAAATCTTTACGTAATCTGATAATTAGCAGTATTATACATTAGCCAATTATTGTTTTGTTTATTGATCATGCAAGCTAGTAGAACTATTGCCTTTCTTCAGAATAAATATTTGCAAATTGGAAATGGATTAACATGCTCGATTAGATTAGATTATAATATTAACCAATTGTTAATGCATGATGTATAAATGTATAATAAAAAAGAAGTCAACACCATGAATTAACTCAATATGACACTATAAATATATCGTCTTGATATTATACTCGAAAATCCTACACCAGACCCTGCCAGTACCTGCACCAGACCCTGCCAGTACCTGCACCAGACCCTGCCAGTACCTGCACCAGACCCTGCCCGTACCTGCACCAGACCCTGCCAGACCCTGCCCGTACCTGCACCAGACCCTGCCAGACCCTGAGGCAGACGAGACCGACGGGTCCAAGGGTCAGGATCTCGCCCGTTGCCAGCAGCAGCAGCGCCCACTGCAGCGTGAACACGGCGCCCACGCTACCAGCGCCCAGGTTGCTGGGGGGTTTTGAAGATAAGAAATAATAAATAAATATAACACCTTTACCACTATTACGGTGATAGAGGGAAAAAGATGAGGGTGTATTTAAATGTAAAAGATACATGTGGCACCTATACGTACGTAACATTGAAAGAGGTGATAGGGTGAAGTTATAATTAAATGAAAAGAAATTAACGTGGTACCTATGGTTCACGTGAATAGGTTCACTGAACTGAAATGAGGTTCGCGAAGATGAGAAGGTGGCATATTTGGATATACAAGCAATGGTTTTAAAATCTATTTTCAGACTGTGATGCGAGTAACAGGGATGCCTAGACATAGGAGATTTGTTGCGTTGTTTATACCAGGCACGAGATCATTAAAACATTCATGTTAATTATTAAGCGATGTAGAATTCAATGAATCGTGAATGGTGAGATGAATGATACGTATGGAAAGTGGGAGTCTAAATAATTGTATACAAAATGGCTGAGTTTAATTAGAGGCTCGGGCTAATTATACTTTGTCACTTAAAAATCATTGGCGAGGAAATCCAAATGCATCTTTAAATTGACTTCTCCAAAATTCAGGAGGGTGAAACCCAGCTAAACCACAACGGCACTCACAATGGATGAGACTAGTACAAACATCCATGCACTTCTTGCCTTGTGTAAGTCATGCTGACCAGTTTGACCCTGTGTGATGGCATATCTGTATTACTTGCCAAAAGTGCATCATTATTTAGACAATACGATTTAAATATCTGCCGTACCTCTCCTCAATGGAGTAGTAGCCAAGGAAGAGGCCGATGATGGAGAAGAAATGTAGAGTTGCGAGCAGAGAACCTTGCACGGCCACCTGATAGTGACTCTGCAACACAACTTCAACTTTAGCGCTCGCAGCTAGACATTGAATCAGAATTAGACATTAGATGAGCTCGGAATGCCGGAATATAATACGAATATTGGCCGTCCTAACGCGGTGGCGGTCTGACTTCCGATATTTCAATTATCGAAATCACTTTCTTAAAAATTAATAAAATTAAAAAAACGCAAGTTTTAACTTCAATGATATTATTAGCGCATTTTCTCATTTATGGAAAAAATGCACTATTGTGATCGCCACGTCCGTTTGTCTGTCTGTCTGTCCGTCCGTCCGTCTGTCCGTCCGTCTGTCCGTCCGTCCGTGACCACGTTTTCGTGGACGAGAAAATGCGCTCTCTGTCACTCACTGCAGTGAGTACAGAGTTATATATTTTTTTCAACCCACCTCGTGCACTTTGCCCGCCAATTCAAAATGGTAACAGGTCTGGGGCTCGGGCTCGAGCGTGGCCCGCAGCAGCGTCCTGAAGGGCGTGTCGCCCCTCGCGCCGATGTACCTCAGCAGCGCCCGGAGTCTTTCCAGCTCCTGCGTCAGGTCTGCGTCGCGTGAACGTCCAGAGTCTTTGACGATGATTGAATCTTTTTCGACGAAATTATTGTTTTCTTCTTGAGCGTTATTTACGATTTCATAATCGTTCCCTTGCAGTCCTAGCTTTTTACGGGATTCTAGGTTTCTGCCACCGATATCATGTGATTTTACATCGAGGACAATCCATTTATGCTCAGGATCTTTTAGTTCTTCATCTTCCTTATAATTTAATTTTAAATCTTCTTTGTGTTTTACAGATAATTTTAATTTGTCCTCATCATCATCGCTAAAATTTCTTTGTTCTCTTTCTACATTCGCATATTTTTCGTGGACATTAGATACAGATGCTGACCTCTCATCACTTTCATATACGTTCTCTCTTTCATTATTTGCTTTCACGAAGAAGGGACTTTCGTTTCTTAAATTTCTGTGAATTGTGGTATTCCTACCTGCGTCCCCGTCAATATTTTGCTGACCACTCGCAGGCGCAGCCGACTTTCCATCAAAATAATTTTCTTCTTCTTTGACATGCGAGTTTTTTCTACCCAAGTTGGACGGTTGCCCCCAACTTAAATTTCCTGAGTAATCTATTGGTATAAAATTGTCATCGTAATCAGAATTTTCTTTCGGAAAATTCCAGCTTTCGGTAGAAATTTCCTGTTTTGCATCATCAAGCTGCTTTTGGAACAAAAGTAAATCTCTGAGTAACGTTTCCAAATCTTCGTTGTCACCAGACTCTGACAACCGCTTGGTGATCAGTCCAATAATTTCTTTATCAACTACCGATAAATTATGAATTAATGATGTTCTATTTACATTATTTTTAACTCCTCGTGCATCACCACTCAACTCACTATTTATAAAATGTGAAACTTTATTTCCACCATAACCTCTCCCCTCAAACTCACTATAGTTATCGAAACCATTGTTCTGGTTCCCATAACCATCATTGTGAGTGGTACTTCCACCAAGTCGCACTGCCAAGCTCGCAGCTAACAAGTTAGGTAAGTTAGTGCGTGGGTAGTGCAGAGTATAGTTCGTGGTAGGGTCGGTAGAGTCACAGGCTGAGATGGTAGGTAGTGCTGTGAGTAGAGCGTCTCTGGACGCGTGGTAGCTCACCAGCAGCAGCATGCACAGCACGGATGTCAGCACGCCTAAGAGACAAGCGAAATTAATTATTTGTTTATTCTATTAAACATCAAGCTATTTTTAATGCAATTGGGTTAAATTTATTTAATTTAGATATCGGCACAACAAGAATTTTACCGGTACAAATTAGATCGTACTATTAATATCCCACCATCACCACCATGAATATCATCACATCACTACCACAGCTCCCTCACCACCACAGGATGAGGGTAAGTGAGGGGTGATCTGCCCTTCTATGGCGCCCAACGCTCAGCTTTTCACTTGAATACAAGTTTTTATAACGAGGAGTCAACGATTAATCATATTCTAATATGAAAGTATACGTCTGATTATATTACCGTGAGATCATCAACGTTTTATTATATCATCAAAAGACAACCAAAGTCTTGTATCATTACACGGTCATCACTCATCTCATCCTCCATCTTAGCACCCATCACACCTCATCACACCCCATCATCACACCCCCTCATTGCCGTCGTGTATGCGGTACATCGTGTCCACGAGTCTGGGATTCACTCATCACATCACTTACCTCATCACCCATCACTTCACCCATCACACCCCCATCACTTCACCCATCACACCACTCATCTCATCACTCATCACATCCCCCATCACACCCCCTCATCACACCACCATCACCCCCACATCACTCACCACTGTCGTCGTGTATGCGGTACATGGTGTCCACGAGTCTGTGATTCATTCATCACATCACTTACCTCATCACCCACCACACCACCCATCACATCACCCACCACATCACTCATCACGCCCCCCCTCACCCCCGACATCACTCACCACTGTCGTCGTGTATGCGGTACATGGTGTCCAGTCAGTGATGAATACATGCTGCTAACTCAACGTTCTTCAGGCGCCATCTTGGTTGAACATCTGTTCATCATGTTCACGATCTCCTCGAATTATTCAAAACAAATCTTTTAAATTTATTACGGAAGATGCTGTTCTATAAAGTTTAGTTTCATTGAGTTTATAAACTATTTGGTTTTAAGATTTTGTACACGTTTCTTAGAATAATTCGATGACATATTTAAAAAAAAATAAATATTTTTATTGTTGTTTACAAGTAATTTTACTAAATTTAAAAACTCAAGGTGCCAAAATTAATGAAGGATGTAACAAAAATCTATGAAATGGAAGCAAAATTGGATTAAAATTCATGATTGACGATAAATGTTGGGTTAATTTGTTGATCCATAGCAAAGATACGAGTAGCACATCTATACAAACATTTGTACAAACATTTGTACCTACGAATAAAATTTATGAGAGTACAAATGTACGGCGTACAAACACGATGCAAGAGTATTAAGCGGCAGCGTGTATAATGCATAGATACGTGTTAAAGAAGTACACGCGCACACACGAGGTATCAATACAAGATACGCATAACACAGCGCATACATATCAGCGCGCAGCCCTAGAATATACAGCAAAGTTTTAGATCTATACACTCCTGGAAGACACATTGATCTCTTTGTATATTATTGCTGGTCATTATTAGATAATACAGCTCGCAGTGTGAGATTCAACAAATTTAGTTTACATCACAACTCTGCTTACAGTGTTAAGTATACAGTACACGAAGTAAATAACACTGACTGTATAAGCAATATACAGAAGGCATTATATGCGTGCGGTATATTGGTTTTTAAAATTGGAAATAGTAAATTGTTAATTGGAGTTTACCAATATTTATTCTTTGCTTAAAGTTGAATTACGTCATTAAGCTGCATGACCTTTATGATGAGCGTGTTAATATTGGTACAAATGAGACTGCATTGTAGAGGTAGAGTTAACAATGACACAGCGGTGAGTATGAATATCTCCTACAATACAGGATCTGTATTGTGTGTTGTGTGTGGTAAACAGACAACAGGAGCGTCGCGCTGAGGCTTACGCAGCAGTTTTTGTCGGCTTGCTTGAAGCCTCCAATAAGCCTTCTTGTAAATAATAAAGCTCTATTCAAAATAATAATGCTTTCTTGTAAATAATGCCACATTCTTTTAAAAATAACCATTTTTTGCTTGATAGTCATACCTTATTTTGAATAATAATAATACCTTACTTTAAATAATATGCCAATGCACAACTTATACGTGTTAACTGCGCAAGATATACTTTCTTATATAGTGTGCTATGCCTACATGAAATATAATTTATACATGTGCATATGCATGTAAAAAACGCAGGTTATAAAAAAATATAACTCAGTACTCACTGCTGTGAGTGACAGAGAGCGCATTTTCTCGTCGACGAAAACGTGGTCACGGACAGACGGACGAACAGACAGACGGACGGACATGACGAGCACAATAGCGCCTTTTTCCATAAATGAGAAAATGCGCTAAAAATGGTGTACACGTGCACGGACAATGTGTTGCAGGGTAAGCAAGGTAAAGACGAGGAGGCAGCGAGCTGTTCACTCGTGCATAATACATTAAAAATATAACTGCACGTCACATACGTACACTATTTACTGTATCTAGGCCGTACACGTTCATACAAACAGCGGGTCACACAGCTTGTGTTGTGTTTCAGTACGCAGCTTGTGTTGTGCGGAAGCATATAGCGTGTGTTGTATGGCAGCACGTAGCTTAAGTGTTGTATGGCAGCACGCGGCTTGTGTTGTGTGGAAGCATATAGCTTGTGCTGTGTGGCAGCACACAGCTTGTGTTGTGTTTCAGCACGCGGCTTGTGTCGTGGGTTGGAGAACATTGAGTTTGGAATAAAAAATATTGAAATGAGTATCAAAGAACTGGCGACTTTTCAGCACCAGGACTCGACAGACTTACGGCAGTGCTGTTAAGAAGTGTGTTGGAGCACTGAAGGCTCCGTTCACAATGCTCTGGAATGCCTCGATGATGGAGGGAATTATCCCTGAGGACCTCAAAGTGGGACTGATAACGCCAATCAGCAAAGGAGGTCCGAGGGACAGACCCCAAAATTACAGACATTTGAACTTTAACTCACCGGTGGTCATGATTTTTGAGAAGGTAGTGGCCAGGAGATTGGCCAGTATATGGAAGAGGCCAAACTGCATAATAATGGACAACAAGGTATCGGCAAAATCTTTCCTGTTTGTCACATTTATTGGAGCACCATCACCGCCTTGTGGTCTACTGAAGGAGAGGGCTGGCGTGGACGTAATATACCTGGGCTTAGCTAAATTTTTTGACAAAATTGACCATGGGGTGCTCTTCCGAAAGCTAAGGCTGTTAAGAGTAGGAGGGAGACTGTTAGAGTGGATCCAAAACTTCCCTACAGATAGAGTACAAGCTCTCGCAATTGGAAACTCGAAATAGAGAGAAGCGAGTGTGAAAAGCAGGGTGCCACAGGGCTCGGTGCTTGGACCGATCTTCTTCCTCATCCACATCGCCGAAATCGACTCAGAACTTACCCACGCATCTTCATCGTCATTTGCGCGACGGACGATACAAGAGTGTTGATGAGGATCACAGATGACCTAGACTGCAAGAGGTCACAGGATGACTTGTCGACAATCTATGATTGAGCCCTAGTGAATAATATGCAATTCAACAGCACCAAGTTCGAAGTATTGAGGTACAGAGTCGGCACAGGGACCGGGATGCCTCATCGCTACTTGGCATCGGATGACGCAGAAATTGAGGAGAAGCAACTTGTTCGAGATCTCGCAGTGTTGATGAATAGCAAAGCCACGTTCGATGACCACATCGAGGAAATAGATTTGCGAGGCATACAACGGATGTGGTGGATCCAGCAGACATTCTGAACGAGAGAAGCAGCGCCAATTATTACACTCTACACTTCGCCTTCGTGCTCCATAATCTTGAGTACTGCTGCCAGCTTTGGGCACCGCTCAAGGCGGGCGCGATGCGGTAACAAGAGTCACTCCAGCGGACCTTCACGTCCAGGTTCAGCAGTTTAAGGGAGCTTGAGCTGAACTGCTGGGACAGCTTGAAACACCTGGGACTGCAATCAATGGAGAGGAGGAGAGAAAGGTATATCATACTGTACATTAGGAAGGTGATAAAACCAGACTGGCTCCCAACTTTGAAAGTGAGACCTCCAAAATAGTAGCATATTACCACGAGAGGAGGGGGAGACTGTGCAGGATTCCGCGTACTAATAACCGAGCCGCGGCCAGAGTACAGACTTTCGTGAGGGATCACTGTCCGTGGTAGGACCGAGTCTGTTTAATGCCTTGCCAAAGGTGCTGAGAGGAGGTGAGTTCACCCTTTCGACATTCAAGTGACGACTGGATGAGTTTTTGCTCAAGAACCCGGATCGTCCACTTATGAAAAACTACCCTCAGCAAGAGACAAGCAACAGCATCTTGCATCAGCTGGCCCAAAAGAGAAAAGATAGAATAAGTCCAACGTTACATTTGCGACCCGAGGGCGGGTCAACCTGCATATCGACGACTTGGAGACAGAGGACGACGAAGGCGGCGCATCAGCTTGACCGTGGACTGAGAAGTCCTAAACTCATCATAAGGTCATAAGGTTACAAGATGTGGCAGCATATAGCTTGTGTTGTGTGATAGTCCTCGCTTGTGTTGTATTAATGCCCACACGTTATTTTGTGTGACAACACATGCATTACATACGAGAGCTCAACATTACCCATGTGTGGGTGTCAAGTAAGGACAAAAACGTTGAACCTTCTTTAAAAAATAGTGAAGTGATGAATATATGGAGAATGTTAGGAAGTTGTTATTGGAAACATGATTCACAAACATTCCTTACTCGAAATTTTGTATTGAAACCCTGGGAAAGTATATACAGTTATAAGCATTTATAGCTACAACATTAAGCTGGCGACATATGTTGAGCGGCACAATAGATAATTTTCAATCGATATTTTTCAATAAATCGATCGATACATAATATATAGAGCGATCTCCAGATACGAAGGCAAGTGATCTGTTTTTCCTCGGTAGAAGTTGAATTTAGAAAAGTCTCAAACAACGTAGCCGTAGCATTGCAGCTGTAAAGCCCGGATATTTGCAGCTGTAGCCTTATAGCTGTATCATTACAGTGTAATCGATGTTTCGAACATCGTAGCTGTAGCATTGTGGCTGTAAGACACTAACATTTGCAGCTGTAGCCTTTTAGCTGTATCGTTACAGTGTCGTTGACGTCTCAAACGTCGTAGCTGTAGCATTACAGCTGTAAGACACTGAAGGCTTATAGCTGCATCTTTATAGTGTAGTACTAGTAGACGACTGTAACATCGCAGCCAACAGAACGCAACATCGTTGATGTTACAGCAACATTCCCCGAGCCTCGCGTACAGCGCAGTAATGAACATCAGCGGTGCGCGGGCATGCCTCAGACGGGCCAATAATGAGACATGTTATTCCTGAGATATTCTATTCTATGCCTAATTGAATTATCCAAAATTCAATTCTGTGTATTGAAATTAGAAAATTTCCCCTCTCTTATTCTGAATAAATTAGATCTCTTCACCATGAGACGTTCTAATGAAATAATAGTTTTAAAACGGTGCCTTGCTCATTTTATCTAAAACCTCCGTCGTTACACTCAGTGAAATAAGGGCATCGAGGGTTGCATTGCAAGAAGTCGTGATGCGAGTGATGTTCCAGCTTCTAATGGAGTGATGCAGCAACGGGACATGTGGTGCTCTGTGATGTTGTGGTGGAACAAACTTATTGCTTATTGCAGCGGCAGTCTGATGGTTGTAGGAGGTATTTTCACCTATTGAAACAGAACGGCTTTGAAATATTGCCCACGCCCCACATATAATATCAACTGATTAACCAAGCAATAAAGTTCATCGAATTCAAGTCCTATTGACGCATGTCACGTATCATTCTAATCACTCAATGAGTCAATTCATGCACAACAAACTGAGTCACGTCGTGACTCATTAGCCTGCCACGTCATGTCACATGTTTGACTACGAGTGACGATGTTGGCTTAACGTGTACAAGAAAACCGATGTTTTGTATGGATTCTTATCGCTGCGTCATAGATAACGCTGGACAAGAACTTCGTATTTGTTTTCATTGGCTGTCAAAACATGCTCAAGTTTGCAGACCACTCAGTGCTGGAGCAACGACTTTACATCTACAATTAGTAAATTGTTAGGTAATACACGATCAATAACAATAAAT